AAAAAAAATGGCGTCTGTTCCGGATAAAAAATTGATTTTGTTAAAAAATTTTTTTTTTATGAGAGCCACGAGAACAAATACATGATGTAAAACATGTTTCATAAAAAAAAAGGAGATTAAAAGACAGAAATAATTCATTCATTCATTCGAAAAAAATATTTTTTTAATGTTTAACTTAACGTAAAACTGAAATATCATTATTATTTGTTTTTTTTTTCGAAAAAATTTATAAACACGCGCAAGCAAGCAAGCAAAAAGAAAAATTGTTGTTTTTTTTTTCTTAAATTTATTACAGTTTTGAGAAAAGCTTTCGATGGTTTCGACAGAGAACGTTCTGGAAGCATACCAACAGATATGGTAGCAGAAATCCTTCGTTTAATGGGTCAACCATTTAATAAAAGAATATTAGAAGAATTAATCGAAGAAGTCGATGCGGATAGTTAGTTTGAATATTTCCTTTTTTCCTTCTTTTTTAATTAAATAAATAATCGAATCAATATTATTATTATTATTATTATTATTAATGAATTTTATAGAATCCGGAAGATTGGAATTTGATGAATTTGTTACGTTGGCAGCAAAATTTATCGTCGAAGAAGATGCCGAAGCAATGCAAAAAGAATTACGTGAAGCATTTAGACTTTACGATAAAGAAGGTACGATAAACATTTTCTATTATTATTATTATTATTATTATTATTATTATTATGAACGGGATTTATTAATACGAAAGGAAACGGATACATACCGACGTCATCGTTAAAAGAAATATTAAGAGAACTTGACGATCAATTAACCGATGAAGAATTGGACATAATGATTGATGAAATTGATGCTGATGGATCCGGAACCGTAGATTTTGACGGTGAATTCATTTTAAATTAATTTAATTTAATTTTCAATTTCAATTTCAATTTAAATTTAAATTTAAATTTTTTTTTTTTACATTCACAGAATTTATGGAAATGATGACCGGAGAATAAATTTAAAAACAAAAAAAAATTTTTTCATCATTTTTTTTTTTTTTAATTTAAATCAAAATAATATTCGGATATTATTATTATTATTATTATCATTATTATCATTATTCAACATTTTTATTTATGACACAATAATAAAATAAAATTATTTTAATATAATTATATATAAAAAAATAAATATATATATATATAATAATTTTTTTTCGAATCATTCGTTCGCTTTTATTTTTATTTATTTATTATTATTATTATTATTATTATTATTATTATTATTATTATTATTATTATTATTATTATTATTATTATTATTATTAAGGTCAAATAAATGCATAAAAATAAATTTTAT